AAGTTCGGCCGTGCCGAATTTTGAATACCCTCCATCATTTGGAACGAATTGAGAAATTTTCAAAAAATAAAATGCTTAAAAAATTCTGTTAAAATTTAAAAAACCGAATATTGCCGTCATATTGGGGTATATACGACGTGGACCTACATAGGTATTGCTTGTCATAAGTCATTACCATATTCAAATTCTAGACTTGAAATAAACGCCGAATAATGTAGCTAGAATCATCAAAACATCGTATATATGGAGGTACCGTTATATCGGAGCTGTGCGAAGACCGAATATAAGGAGGTACTGGTATATGGGGCCGATACGAAGACCTGGATCTGCATAGACAATTTTCCATCACAGACTGTAGTTCCCATTACGAACTCTAAATAAGTAATTTAAAATAATTCCGGTGAATAATGACGCTAAAATCATCAAAATACCAAATATTGGGAGGTACCGTATATGGGGGCTATACGAAGACGTGGACCTGCACAGACAATTTTCTGGCATAGGCTGTAGTATCCATTTCGAACTTCAAATACCTAATTTGAAACAATTTCGGCGAATATTTTCGCTAAAACCATCAAAATACCGAATATTGGGAGGTACCTTTATATGGGGGCTATATGAAAACGTGGACCTACATGGCCCATTTACGAACTTAACCTGTCTACTAGAAAAATAAATATGTGTGCAAAATTTTAGCCTTCTATCTTAATTGGTTCGAAAAAGAGCGTGATTACCACAGACAGACGGACATCGCTAAATCGACTTAGAATTTTACGTTGATCAAGAATATATATACTTTGTTGGGGCTGAAATGAGTATTTCGAGGAGTTACAAACGGAATAAGAAAGTTAATATACCCTCCATAGTATGGTAGAAGGTATAAAAAGTATCCACAATAAGGTATGCGTGAAAAAACACCATTTAAGCCCTTTGACAAAAATGTCCACTCGAAATGTTCTTGGAAAAAAATACAGAAAACCTGAAAAAAATAATTAAGACCGTATTAAAAAAAAAAAAAAAAACAAGTTAGAAAATATCAGTTGATTTTGCCGACAGATGTATACCCTCAGCCAAGGTTCGATTTTTTAAATATATTTTGACTTCTGTTATGATTATTCAAATTGTCGGAGTAGGTTTGGAAGGAATGGGCCAATATTGTCTATTTCGTATCGGTTGGAAAGAATCGATGATTTCTTACGCAAGCTATGTCAGATAATCGGAATCAGATGTTAATTTCGCATTTTATGAGCATTAAGGATATAAACAATTTTAACCCTTTGTGGGGAAGAAGGAGTGCACCGATATATCTCATCTTCAAAGTAGATCTTGTGTTAGTGGAAATAATGAGATGAGCGCAATATAAAGAGAATTGGATGCTTATTTTGAATTTTACGATCGCTTTAAATATTCAAAACTTTGACCTTCTGTGGGGCAGGTAGCAGAAGCAGTGGACCGATATATCTTATCTCGACAGCGGATCTTGTGTTAGTAGAAATAATAAGATGTGTGAAATATGAAGAGAAGCGGATGCTTATTTCGGATTTTATAATCATTATGGTTATTAAAAACGTTGACCCTTTGTGGGAGAGGTACCAGAGGGAATGGTCCGATCTCTACCATATCTATAACAGATCTTGTTTTAATGGAAATATTGACGTGTTCTAAGTCTAAATGAAAGTGGATGCTAATTTCGCGTTTTATGAGCTTAATGAATATTCAAAATATTGGCCCTTAGGAGGGAAAGGAAGAGCTTAACTTTTATTGTTCAACTGGTTCTTGAAATAATGTTCTTATAAAACTACTGGTCCTTGAAAAGTTTTCAAAAAATCCACGTTTATTGCTCTGTAGGTCATAAAAATATAGCTGCAATTTCTCTGCCAGCTGGTTCTTGAAAAAAAAAAGAAATAGAACTATTTTTAAAAAATAGAAATATTTTTAAAAAATCGGATCGGTAGGTCCCTAAAAGTATACTTTAAAAAATATTCTTAAAAATCCACAGTTAATTATTTGTCTGTCTGTCTGTCTGTTGGTTCTCAAAAAAATTTTTTTTTCAAAATTCACGTTAATTCACGTTTCTTAACAATCAATTTTTATTGTTTAACAGGTCCTTGAAAAATATTCTTAAAAATTCTGATCAGCAGGTCTCTAAAAATATTCTTAAAACTATCAATGTTAATAGGTCTATCGGATGTAAAAAAATATTTAAAAAATTAAAAAAGGGCTATTGATCCGTTGGTCCTTGAAAAAAACAAATCATAATAAATCCAAGTTATTGGTCTGTTGGTTCTCAAAAAATATTCTGTAAAAATCTGCATTTATTCTTAAAAAAATCACTCATAAAAATAGTTTGGTCCTAAAAAAAAAATAGTTCTAAAAAAACACTACCGATCTTAGAAAAGTTATTAGAAAATCCACGCTTCTTGCTCTTTATGTTCAAAAAAAATATAGCTCGCTGTTTGTATATTTACATATCCACCTGGACTTTGAAAAATATCCTTAAAAATTGAAGTTTATTGATTTGCTGGTCCTTAAAATCGTTTTTAAATGAAGGATTATTAGTCTGCCGATCCTTAAAAAAAATAACCTTTAAAGGCCCCCATCCCCATATATATCCCTCTTGGTCTTTAGGATGTTTATTTAAAAACCTTCCAATCATAGCTTCTTAGAAACCTTTCAATTATTTCTTGTAAAAATATTCTCAAATATTCCACAATTTTATCTTTATTGGTCATACCAATGCTGATCCTTGAAAATATTATTTTAAAATCCACATTATATATCCACCTGGTCCTTGAACAAAAGTATTTTTTAAAAATTCAAGTTTATTGGTTTGCTGGTCCTTAAAATTGTTGTAAATGTACAATTAGTGGTCTGCTGGTCATTAAGAAATACCCCTTAAAACCCCCACCCCCATATATATTCTTCTTGGTCTCGGAGATGTCTATTTGAATGAAATTCTTCAACGATCAAAAATATTCTTAGAGTCCTTTCAATTATAGCTTCATCTGTCCAGGAAAAATGTCGATTGATATTCATTGACCCTTCTAAACATGTTTATGGAAATCCACGATTTAGACTTGGGGGATTTTTGAGAAAATGTCGTTATAAAATCCACGATTGAATATCGCGGTACTCAAAAATTCACGAAAATAGTTTAATTCATCGCTAAAAAAATCCACCACAATTGAATTAATTTTTTTTATACCCTCCACCATAGTATGGAGGGTATATTAAGTTTGTCATTCCGTTTGTAACACCTCGAAATATACAATGTAGACCCCACAAAGTATGTATATTCTTGATCAGCATAAAATTTCATGTACGTCTGTGGTAATTACTCTAGCTTCCGAACGAAATGAAGTAGGTTGATAAAATTTTACTCAAATGTGTACTATGTCTGCAGGACTTTTGGTATTGAAAATGGACCATGTAGGTCCACGTCTTCGTATAGCCCCCATAGAACGGTACCTCCCAATATGCGGTATATTGATGATTTTAGCGATATTATTTACCGGAATTGTTTCAAATTTAGTATTTGAAGTTCATAATAGATACTACATCCTAAGACAGAAAATGAGCCATGTAGGTCCACGTCTTCGTATAGCCCCTATATAACGGCACCTCCCGATATTCGGTATTTTGATGATTTTAGTGACATTATTAACCGGAATTGTTTCAAAATTGGTATTTAAAGTTCGTAATAGATACTTCGGCTTAAGATAGGAAATGAACCATGTAGGTCCACGTCTTCGTATAGCCCTCATATAACGGTACCTCCCGATATTGGGTATTTTGATGATTTTAGAGACATAATTTACCGGAACTATTTCAAATTTCGCATTTGAAGTTCGTAATGGATACTACAGCCTATGACAGAAAATTGTCTGTGCGGATCCACGTCTTCGTATAGCCCCCATATAACGGTACCTCCCAATATTCGGTATTTCGATGATTTTAGCGACATAATTTACCGGAACTATTTCAAATTTGGTATTTGAATTTCGTTATGAATACTACAGCCTATGTCAGAAAATTGTCTCTGCAGGTCCACGTTTTATAACCCCCATGGTACCTCCCTATATTCGGTATTTTGATGATTCTAGCTACATTATAAACAGATTTTTTTCAAGTTTCACATTTAAATATTGTAATAGCTTGTGACATAAGTTGCCTATTCAGGTCCACGTCGTCGTATAGACCCTAATATACGGCTACATTCGGCATCTTACGATTTTAACAGAATTTTAACGGATTTTATTTCTTTTGAAAATTGCCAAATTTTGTGCCAAATGGTGGAGGGTATTCAAAGTTCGGCCGGGCCGAACTTACAGCTTTTTTACTTGTTTTAGTTAAAATTTAGAAATATACAATAAAGACGATTCGCTCTGTTTGCTATTAAAAAAAAATATTATTTATTCAATTTAAAATATTAATAAAAACGCTATACTGCTTGTTCTGTCCTTAAAAAGACATTTTTAAAAAATCTACAATTATAGTTCAATTAGTCCCTGACAAATATTATTAAACATTCTACCATTATACCACAATTGATCCCCGAAAAAAAGCCAGAAATAGCAACCCTTTTTAAAAACTCTGTAATGAAAGCCTCTCAATCCAAATCCATTAGCCATCATAGAGATTTCCGATAAAAAGATATATTATATAATTGTGTCTGTGCTAAAAGGAGCTCATTAAATTTCAATTAAATCCCAATCAAAATTATGTCTATAACACAGACATTTATTTTTATTAAAATCTCATAATCAGTATCATACCAGAGTGCCAAAGAAGAATGACCCTATATTCAAGTATTTTAAGAACGTCTATTTTGTTTACAATATGTGTTAACGTAAATATATTCGTATTTTACATAGATGTCCCTAGTCCAACTTCAATTCCTCTCTTAATTTCAGTGCCACAGCTCGACCACAGTGATTATCAAGAAAATAGAATGCAAAATAATCGATCCAGACTTTGTGGATTTCCCAGTGTGTGAAGTGATGGCGAATGGCAAAAAATCAAGTGTCTCTGTGACGGCTCATATTCTTCAATTGCCCGTCTCAAGTGTCTCCCTGAATGTGGTGCTGCAACCTCTCTATGGCAAAAATTTGGCAATGCTGAACGCCACATGGGATGCCTGCGCCTTTATGAAAAATCGCAAAAGAAATCGTGCCCTAAATCGTTTATTTAAATACTTGGCGCCCTATACGAACGTTAATCATTCCTGTCCGTACAATGTAAGTTGCAAGGAAGGTGTTTCATTTTTAAATTTTTGGCGATATTAAAGCTTGCGATTTACAGCACGATATAATTGTACGGAACTTTACGTTATGGAACCAAACACCCTTGTTTTCTTCTCCCAATGTGGCATTTAAGATTTCAATAGGAGTTTATGCTGATGACAAGTATCGTGCTTTGTTAGTGGGTCGAGCAGATTTGGAGAACTAGACTGTTACAGATAATGATCTGATATTTTTGTTTGGTTTGAAATAAATATTTTTTTATTGATAAGCCTTAGGGGCTTGATTTGTTCCTTTTAAATATGAGAGGGAAAGGGAACGATAAAAAATATCCAAAAAAAAAAATCAAGAATGATTCCATAAGTCTACTATTTTACTTTAAGATAGGGCAGAAACCTACTACTTTCGATGGCCATCGAATAATGTTTAGAGGGTGAAATGGACCATCACTTTTTTATAAAAAAGATCTCCAAGATCTCCATTTAACGCCGAATGTATTTAATCCTGGCGAAATCACAGATATAGGAAAGGGTCAAAGTAGTACGAAATGTACCAAAAGGTACGAAATGTATTACCCGGTATATTTGATGAACCAGCTATAACTTTTAAAGTTGGGTGAAAGTCACTGATGGAGTGTGTGATAGAAGCGTTTTTTGAAATTCCCACTATAAGTGTACGCCAAGAGCTAAGACAGGGCAGAAACCTACTACTTTCGATGGCCATCGAATAATTGTACTATATTTGGCTTTGGGTAAAGAGATAGAGAGAAAATTCTGAAATTTGATATTTAGATCATTGATGGTATCTGTATTTGAGATTTGGCGGTGGTTTGTAAATGCGTCTTATATTTGGGCAAACTGTACTAAATGTAGTATTGGGTGAGGGGAACACCTGAAAACGTAAATTTTATACTTTGATAATTGTGGGTGTCTAGGATTTTAAATATGGAACTTGTAAAGCCATTCCATATTTTAAATCCTAATTTGTGTTATATGTACGAAAAGTATTAAATGTTTTCAAATTTATTATTGAGAGAATGAGTATAGTGCTGCAATCCCAAAAATTGATATTGAAGCCTAGTTGACATCTGGTGTTGAAAACTGGTGGTAGTTTTGCAAATGGTACAACTTTTGGATCACTTTTGATGTCTACAATGGAGAGATGTATATTATTTTGGATATGCGTCCTAAATGATAGTAAATTTGGTATTGGATCAAGGAAAAGAGCTGAAATTCTGAAATTGAGGTCACTGTTATTTCTAGGGTTTTCACATGAAGACGTTGAAATTGTTTTGGTTAAAAAAAATGGTTGTGGGTCCAATTTGCATCGGTACAATAAACGTGGATTTTTTAAATTATTTTTTTCCCAGATCAATAGGCAAAAATGCATGGATTTTTTAACGATTTTTTTCCAAGACCAACAAACCGTGGATATTTTAAAGATTTTTTTCAAAGGCAAAAAAAAAAAACACAAAATGGTTTGTAAAGTTTTTTTTTCAAAGACTAATAAATCATTAAACGATGATTTTTCTAAAGATTTTTATCAAGGACTAAAAGATCATTCTGCGTGGATTTTTAAAAATTCTTTTTCAAGACATACAGACCTTCAAACGTGGATCTCTTAAAGTTTTTTTTTCGGGAACTATCAGACCAGTAAACATGGATTTTTTCCAGGACTAACAGACCATTCAATGTGGATTTTTTTTAGAGATTTTTTTTTAAGGAATTACAGACCATTAAATGTGGATTTATTAAATTTTTTTTTTCAAGGAATAACAAACCATTAAACATGGATTTATTAAAGATTTTTTTCAAGGGCTAACAGACCATTAAACATGGATTTATTAAAGATTTTTTTCAAGGGCTAACAGACCATTAGTCTTTGATTTTTTAAAGATTTTTTTTTTTTTCAAGGAATAAGAGAACAAAAGGTGGAGATTTAAAAAAAAAACTTTTTCAAGTACTGAGAGACCAAAAGTTGTGGATTTTTTAAACACAAGCGTGGATATTTCAAAGGTTTTTTTATTTAAGAACCCAAAAGATTGGGTTTTTATTTTTTCAAGGATGTTTGTAATTTTTTTTTTTCTCAACGACCAACAGCGTAGATATGTTAAAAATTTTTTTAAAGTGTCATGGGCCAATAAGCGTGGATTATTTGTAAATATTGTTTTCAAATATTTTTTTTGAGGATATTTTTAAAATATTTTTTTCTCAAGGACCAAGAAGCGTGGATTTTTTAAAAAATATTTTTTAAGGACTAATAAGCGTGGATTTTTTCTCAAACACCAAGAAGCGTGGATTTTTTAAGCATTTTTTTCTCAAGGAGCATTAAGCGTGAATTATTTTTAAATAGTTATTCTCAAGGGCCAATAAGCGTGGATTTTTTAAGCATTTTTTTCTCAAGGAGCATTAAGCGTGAATTATTTTTAAATAGTTATTCTCAAGGGCCAATAAGCGTGGATTTTTTAAGCATTTTTTTCTCAAGGAGCATTAAGCGTGAATTATTTTTAAATAGTTATTCTCAAGGGCCAATAAGCGTGGATTTTTTAAGCATTTTTTTCTCAAGGAGCATTAAGCGTGAATTATTTTTAAATAGTTATTCTCAAGGGCCAATAAGCGTGGATTTTTTAAGCATTTTTTTCTCAAGGAGCATTAAGCGTGAATTATTTTTAAATAGTTATTCTCAAGGGCCAATAAGAGTGGATTTTTAATTTTTTATTTAAGGATCAATAAGCGTGGATATTTCAGAAGTTTTTTCTTTAAGGAGCTATAAATATCTGTGAATTTTTAATTTTTTTAAGGAATTTTTTTTTTTTTTTTCACAAAGACCAATTAGCCTGGATTTTTTAAATATTTTTTTTTTTTTTGAGGATTTTTTAAAATATATTTCTCAAGGACCAAAGAGTGTGAATTGTTTTAATATTTTTTATTCGAGATTTGTTTTTATATTTTTTTCTTAATGACCGTTTTGTTCAAGAACCAATAAAATAATAATTTTTTATTAGGACCTTACTGGTCCTTGAATATTTCTTATGAATTTTCTTCAAGGACCATCAGTTTAATTAGCGTCGACGTTTTAAATATTTTTATGGAACAATAATTTAATGAACCCCGGCTTCTTAAAGAATTTTTTTCAAGGACCAATATGCTTGGATTTTTAAAGAATATTATTTCAAGGGCCATAATCGTTGATTTTTAAAGATTATTATTTAAAGGACCATAATCGTGGATTTTTAAAGAATATTTTTTTAAAGACCAATAACCGTGGATTTGTTAAAGAATATTTTTTCAAAGACCAATAACAGGGGATTTTTAAAGAATAAGCTTTCAAAGACGGGTGGATTTTTCAAAAATATTGTTTCAAGGTCCAAGAAACAAATAATCCTGGATTTTTTAAATAGTTTGTTTTTTTTCAAGGACGAACAGACAAATAATTTTTTTTTTCAAGGACCAAAAGACCAGTATGCCTTGACTTTTTACGGAATATTTTTCAAGGACCAAGAAACTAATACATTTTATTTTTCAAGGACCAACAGACAACTTTTTTTTAAGAATTTTTTTGAAGGGCAACAGACAAGCTAGCTTGGATTATTAAAATGAGTTGTAAAAGATCACTGGGATATACGGTTAAGGGTACACATTTGGCTGCAAAACTGACAGATATTTTTAGCTCAACTCATCATATCATTAAAATCTAATTATTGAATTTTTTATTCCGTTTTTTAGTGCTAAGATATCCCCATTAAATTTCCATTATAACCAATAAAGTTATCAAGCGGATATTTTTAGTGGCTACCATAACGTAACTTATTCTCCAGAAACATGGCATTGGCTCTACAGTTTTTTCGTACGATTTTTGCACTGACAATATATTACGAGGTAAATATAATTTTGTACCTTTCTTTTCAAATTTTTCTGACACTTGATAATTTCAGTCTCTCGGCGTGGCGGCAATATTAGTTTTCAAAAAACTCGAATGTCAAGCAATCGATCCGGAATATGTCAATTTCACTCTGTGTGAATTAAATGCAAATTCGCGAAGTTCGAGTATCTCTCTAACGGGCCACATTCTTCAGTTACCCATTACAAACGCTGATGTGAACTTCGTATTCGAACATTCGTCCCAAAATAAATTACCGACAATGAATGCAACATGGGATGCCTGCTCATTTCTAAAAAATCGCAAAAGAAATCTTGCCCTCAATCGCTTTTTCAATTATTTAGCTCCCTATACGAATGTAAATCACTCGTGTCCCTACAAAGTAAGTTGTTCATTTTTATAATTGCCGATATTAGATTGCATTCTCGAAATTTACAGCACGACATAATTGTAAGGAATTTCACCTTGATGGATCAAAAGCCACCCTTCTCTTCGCCAAATGCAGTATTTAAGATTTACCTCAATTTTTATGTTGACAAAAAGCATCGGGCCTTGGTCAAACTTAGAGCAGATTTGGAGAATTAGATGCACTCTCTAAATTATTGTAAAGTGATGATGATGATGATATGTAATTATTATTTCAGGTTTGGAATAAAGTTTGGAGTCATTTTGTGTTAATAGAAAGAAACTAACATTGACATTACTTTACTCAATACCTTGTACTGAAAGCACGTGGAAATCGAAATATAGTTCAGAACTATGATGCCAAAGACAAAAATATTAATCATCAAATTTTGCTATTTGTCATCGAGAAAGAGAGATCGTTATTTCCATTTGAAAAAATATTTGCCTCAATGCTGTCAAAAAAACCCTAAAATATGAGTTATAAGAAATTTTTTAAAACAAGTATCGGTTGGTTTTGCCAACAGATGTAAAAGCCCAGCCTTGAGTTATGATTATTCAAACTGTTGATCCTTTATAGAGGAGGTTCCGAGGAGGTTCAGATTTTTACTATATCGTCTACTTCCTATACTTTATATGAGATTTGGGCAAATTTTTGGAAAGTGTGGACATTTGCGTGAGGTACAATATAGTGGACCGAAATATTGCACTTCATTCAATACATATAAAAATAATGGTACGTGTAAAACTAAAAGGGAATTCAAAATTTATGTCCAATTTTATACGAAATCATAAATTGCGATAAATTACATATTCACAACAGATTTTTGTGTAAGAGAAATATTTAGATATAGCAAGTTGTATATAATCGCCGACTTGTTTTGCAAGTTGTGACAGATATTTGTATTGGAAATTATGACCCTTTGTAGGGCAAGTGCCAGAGGGAGGGCGCCGATATATCACATTTTAACAGCAGATTTTGTGTTAGTAAAAATAACGATATGTGTAAAATTTGAAGATAACCGGATGCTTATTTCGGATTTTATGATTATTTTGGTTATTCAAAACTTTGAACCTTTGTGGAAGAGGTAACAAAAGGACTGGTCCGATCTCTATCATTTTTATAACAGATCTTGCGCTGTTAGAAATATTGAGATTGGTACATCTGGAAATGGATGTTATTTTCGCGTTTTATGAGCTTTATGGATATTAAAAATTGTGAGGCTTTGTGGGTGAGGTACCAGAAGGAGTGGATCGATACATTCCATCTTCGCACCAGATCTTGTGGTAGTAGAAATAATGGGATGTGTGAAATATAAAGGAACAGGACAGGATTCTTTAATCGTTTTGGTTATTCAAAACTTTGACCCTTGGTGGGGGAGATACCTGAAGGAATGGTTCGATCTCTGCCATATTTATAACAGATCTTGAGTTGATAGAAATATTGCGATGTGCCAAGTCTGAATGGAATCGGATATTAAAATGGCGTTTTATGAGCTTCATCGATATTCCAAATTTTGACCCTTTTGTGGAGGATGTTCCAGAAGGAGTGGACCGATATATCCTAACTTCACACCAGACTGTGAGTTAATAAAAATATTGGGATGTGTGAAATTTGAAGAGAATCCGACTATTACTTTTAGAAGAGTTATAATTATTCACAATTTTGACCCTTCGCGGGGGAGGTACTTGATGGAGTGGACCGATATTGTGCATTTTCGCACCTGTTGTATCACTTATGGAAACATTAGGATTTGCAATGTTGGAGCTAAATACGATCATTCTTTCTCTTTCTGTGCAGTAAAATATGTTTACCACCAGAAGGAGTGGGCCGACATTGCTCATCTCCGAACTCGATCTAGGTTTGATATTAATATTACGATCTACCAAGTTAGCACCAAATTGGATACACATTTCGAAGGTTATCGTGCGTACCAACCAGCCCGATAGACAGACGGACGCTGGATCAACTCCAAATGTCCTGAAACGGATTTGGTTCAAAGAGACCAAGGATCTAAAGCCATTATTTCGATGAGGCACGTTTTGAACGTATCAAATAATATATACCCTCTCTCAGCTATATGGCTGAGGGTATAAAAATGCCAATACATATGACTCATACTTGTAGCTTGGCTTTTATAATATTTCTGGGTTATCGCGTAATTTTGGTACAAAATTGAATTCTGTCGTAGAATGCAGAATATTTCATCATTCGACACCTTTTATGTTACTTTTAGTCGTCAACTCTAAAAAGTTTTTTTTTTTTTTTTTGAACATTGATGCAATTTTTTATATACCATGGAAATACATATTTCTTTCCTATGGCAACTTATGGTACAATTTTATGAAAAATATTTTTGTCTTTGACGTTGTCCTTCTAAAATGAGGCTCTCTTGGACAAAGTGCACAAACTCACAACAATTTTTTTGTCATAAGCCATTACAATATTCAAATACGAAACTTGAAAACAAGAATCCGGTGAATAATGTAGCTAAAATCATCAAAATACTGTATATAGGGAGGTAATACTGAATATAGGGAGGGGGCTTCCTATCATTATTTGTTTTGACTCCAGCGTGATTACAATAGTCGGACGGACAGGTCTAAATCGTCTTAGAATTTTACACTGATCAATAATATATATACTTTATGTCTAAAATTATTATTTGGATGAGTTAAAAACGGAATGACGAACTTAATATACCCTCCATACTATGTATGGTGGAGGGTGTAAAAATTACCAAAAATACTCCTTTGATGGCTCGAAAATATATATATATTTTGAAAAATTAAATTTTTGTTATTGTAATTTTTAATTATAGCAGTAATTATATCAAATAAGCATTAAAAACAAATTAGAAATACAACACAACATAGACAATTATATTGAAATCCCGAAAAATATACCAGTCTGTTTATTTGAGGCAACTATTTGAACATTGAAATTTCAAATTGAAAAAACGATGCCGACAATCAAGAATTTCCTTCAAATTTCCATAATATTTGCCATTCTAATACAGGTTTGGTAATCACAAGTTTCAATGTAAAGAACATCATTAATTTCAATTTTCGTAACTGTAGACCCTCAACGCAAAAGCATATTTCACGAAATTACATTGCACTACAATTGACCCCGAGTATTCACAATTCGATCTCTGCAGCATGAATAAAGTCAATGGAAAATACCAAAGCATTTCAATAACAATACGAATACTGCAGAAACCCATAACCAATTGTCAAATGAAATTTGAGTCGAAATTTGCCGGCACCACAAGTCTGCCGCTGTTCAACAAAACCTGGAATGTTTGTCGTTTTCTGAAGGAACGTAAAAAGAATTTGGCCTTCGATCGGGTGTTTGATTATTTTCGTCCATATAGTAATGTCAATCATTCGTGTCCGTATTATGTGAGTAGTATTTAAAAGAGAGAAAAAAATTAAATTTTATTCCAATATTCAATTGTAGCATGACATCGTTATAAGGAACTGTACATTGATGGATCAGAAAATGATAATACCTTTGCCAAATGGACAATATGATATAGCCACAACTTATAGTATGGATGGAAAACCGCGATTCTCTGTGGACCTAACATTCGAATTATCAAATTAAATAGTTTGTTTTCATTTATATACAGGGTGAGATAAAAAAAACTGCAACAAAGTCAAACGCCATAATTTTTACATTTTTTTACTTTTTTTTTTTTTTTGAATGAAAGCTAAAAATGTCGGAAATAGAATCAAATTTTAGAATAAGTTTAGATTTGTTCGAATTGGTCAGCTCTGGCACGAATTATGGCCTTCCAAAGACCAATGAAACCGAATGTTGCTTTGCGGTATTTTGGTTCATTCCCAGTGAAGCGCTTGCTTGAGGTGATCGACACTTTGGTATTTTTTAGTGCCAACCTTGCTTACCAAAATACTCCAGACACAAAAGTCCAACGGATTGGTGTCCAGAGACTTTGGTGGTCGTTGTGCGCTGGAAGAGAAGCGAGGAACCTCATTTTGTAACTATTCTTGGGTGGCGCGTGCTGATTGCGATGGTGCTGAGTCCTGTTGGAATGTCCAAGGTCTGCGGCCAAGATGTTTGCATGCACAAGGCTTTAATGCACCCTCCAGAATATTTTCGCGATAATATTCGGCATTTATTATTATGCCTCGGTCGATTAATAAGAGCGGAGAGCGACCATCGGCTGTTATGGCGGCTCACATCATCACCCTGGCCGGCGCTTGAGTTCTGGTGGCCAACCGAAGGTGCACAAGTTTTAGCTAACCTCTTTGGCAAACAAACAAACTGCTGGACAAAGAATGTTTTCTCATCGGAGAAAACCAAATTCGTCAGTTCACCACTTTCGGCCAAGCGATGAAACTCTTCTTCTCTTTTGAGTCTATTTTCTTTCCGTTGCGGAGTAAGTTCTTGCACGTTTTGGAATTTCAATGGCTTTATCCCGAGCTCATTTTTCAATATTTGCAGAATTGAATATTGCGATGTGTTCAGCTCGCGAGCCATTTTTCAGCCACTGCGACGCGGGTTTCGATCAAGTCGCTTCTTTACTTTTCGAACCATATCTGCTGATTTTGCTGTTTTCGTCCGTCCACTTCCTTGACGCCGGGCTACGCTACCAGTATCAAATATAAAAAAATCACATTATCACGCTTGAATTCCATCACGAATAACTTTTTTTCTGAAAAAATCTCAACAAAATGCTATTGTGCGCTTGTAAACAATATAATGAGCTGTCATTGGAATAATTTCGTCAGCTGTCGGACGAGTGGCTTAGAAACGACAGCAGTCGAAAGTTGGTTGCAGTTTTTTCGTCTCGTCCTGTAATGTGTAGAATTATATGAATTTAT